ATTCGCGAAGGGGCTGGGAGGTGATTCATCGCATTCGCGAGGTGGAGTTGCGTTCACTTAGAGGAAATTGGTCAGCTGGGTTTGAGGTTGAGTTGTTCATCGCGTTCATGAGAGAGAGAGGGAGTGCGTTCGCGAAGAGTTAGTCTGAGAAACCATCGCATTCGCGATGGGCATGTCGCGTTCGCATAATAGGATTTTTGGTCAAAGTAATTTTGTGCTTTGCGAACGTGAGGCGTTGACCGCATTCGCGAAGAAGGAATTGAGGCTTGGGCAGAATGTTTAAATAGTCGTCTTGTCCGCGATTTTGAGGTTTATTTCCACCATTTTTGAGCGATTTTGGAGCTTTTTGAAGAGGGATTCAAGGGGAACACTTGGAGGTAAGATTCATGGACGTAACACTTAATTCTAATATGAAATCTACCTAATTAATCATGGAAATTAAGCCTAAAATTGAAGAACTAGGGCTTGAAATTGGAGACCTAAAATTTGGGATTTAAGGGGTCGTTTGTGGTTGGATTTTGATGTTTTTGGTATGAATGAACTCGGGGAGTGATAAGGAGTCCATTGATGTAAATTTTATCGAAATCCGAGATGTGGGCCCGGGGGTTGGATTTGGTCAATTTCGGGATTTGTGTTGTCAATTAATTTCTTTTGAGTGGGCTTTATTCCCTTAGCATATTTTGATGGTTTTGCACTAATTTTGGTTAGATTTGGAGCATCCGGAGGCCGATTCGAGAGGCAAAGGCATCGCGAGCTAGAGATTTGGACCAGGTAGAGGTGAATTATGATTGTAAATGATGTCCTGAGGGTATGAAACCTCGGATTTGCACATCGTTGTGCTATATTGAGGTGACGCACACGCTAGGTGATGAGCGTGGGGTCGTACATTGTTGGGGATTGTGACTTAGTCCGTCCCGAATGATTATTTTACCGTGTATTTGACTGAAAATTATTTGTTATCATCATATTTTGGGCTGAATGCCATATTTGGGCCTCGTGCCAACTATTTGAACCCTTAGGGGCTTTTTTTTTTGACTTTATACTTGAACTTAGTCATGCTACATTCTACTATTTTCATAACTCGACCATGTTTACTTCGCTTTAACACTTAAATGATATTTTAAGCTGAGCACCATGTCTTACTGTTGCCCGAGTGGCTATGAGATTCTGACTTAGTAAGGCCGATGGCCTATGTTGTGAGGAAACACTGATTATGATTATGAGGCCGAGGGCCTGAGATTGGTACGCCACGTGGTGGCTTGTTGATATGAGGACGAGAGCCTAGTGATGATGCCATGAGATGACTCGATATTGTGCTCAGGCCGTAAGGTGCCCCTCCAGAAGTCTGCACACCCCCAGTAAGCGCGAGTACCCATTGTGATGTGAGATATAGCCTGAGGGGCTGGTATTGTTCTGAGATTTTGCTCGAGGGGTAGATTTGTTGACATTGTGCCCGAGGGGCAATCCTTTATGTGTTTATATTTCTTATTTGTATGTCATTTACTTGCTTAAATTGTTAAAAGGCATTTTTATGAAGTTTAAACTGAACTCAATACTTTACACCTATTTACTGCTTCACTGTTTCTACTGGCTTTTACTGCTTCCTTATAGCCTGATATGTGCCTTACGCGATTTCATATTTCTCAGTCTTTATTTATGATTATTACTTACTGCGTTGTAGTACTCACTTTACTCCTTGCACTCCGTGTGCAAATTCAGGCGTTGCTGATCCTGCTCGTGAGGGTTGAGAGCTCCCGGGAGGTTGTATATAAAATTTGAAGTCATTTAATGAAGATTTAGACTAGTTTTGACAAGAATTGCAACTGAAAATCGTAGAAGAAGTTCGTTTACAGACGCTTGTATAAAGGTGTATAAAAGCGTATAATAGTGTATAAAATGTGTTTATACACTCATATACACTATTATACAAAATTATACAAAAAACTAACTTAGTCTTCTTCCTTGCGTCTTTTCTGAAATTTAACTCAAATCTGTTCAAATCTACTCCAAATCACTTCAAATTTAAATTTTGAACTCCTTTTAATATTTTCAATCAATTGGAACAACACTCAATCCAAACAACTAACAAAGTGAAAAAGTCCTATTTTCAAAGCAAAAGCTTTGATGGCCTTCAATGGTGGACTTCTACTCTTCAATTTTTTACATTGCAACCAGATGACATAGGGGGAAAACAGTAATGGCGGACGGCCCCTTAAAGCATATGTAAAAGATGTGAGAAGAAGAGAGAGTGAAAGCAATGGTTGTGATAACACATATTTAACTCCATAGCTTTTAGAAGCAATGATTGTAGAACACGGATTTTTAATTTGCAAGAGCTACTCTTTTCAAAATATGTGTAATATGGGCTAGACCAGGTAAAACTTAAAAACATGACCCATTTTTGTTACGGTGTGAATTCATGTATATTATCTTGTAATTCTTTCTATTTTTAACTATTAGAGTTGTTAACAATATCTGAAATCTGGAATATTAGTAAAAAGGAAAATGATATATACTCGTAAGTGTGATAAGTCATTTTTCTTCATTGGTGAAATTGTTTTGAGTAAATTTTCTTTCCTCAATTCAAGTTAGCAAACATTAGAAACTAATTTCAAAAAGGTTCTTTTTGGAAAAAAAACATTTTCAAACAATGTTTTAAAAGGCGGGGGCGTGAAGTGACGCGTTTTACCTCTGACGAGGCGAGGTGTAAGCCCTGAGACATGGGGCGTAAGTCCCACAAATCTTTAAATTTTACTAATTTTAAGAATTTTAAGATAGTATAAAATAAAAAATAATTATAAAAATTATATTAAAATTACAAAATTATACCAAATAATCTATTTAAAGTATTTATAAATTATAATCCAACTATGAATAATACAAAAAGTATGACATATATCATAATATGCAAATTAGCTGCAACGTCGTTACAACTCAAACATCAAAAGTAATGTATTCGATGTGAAATCTTATATGTATCTCTTAAGGTATAATGAATCTTGAAAGAATTTCGATATTATAATTTGATTTTTTTTAAAATACTTCTTTTATTTAATATGTTTTCTATTTGAAAGAGAATTTATATAAAAATATAATTCACAATTTAAATATGATTTTCTAGCATCATTTATTTTTAAGTTTCAACAAGTTAATAAAGTGACACATAATTCACCATACTATATCATGATAACTAATTATCTGTAAATAGTTACTAGCTAATACTGAGCTATTAAGTTAATAAGTATTGTATCTCGTAAACATGGAAAAAAAAATATTTAAGAAATAATTATTAAAAAAATATGGACTAATATAATAAAGACATAATAATAGTTAATAAATAAATACTTTTAAATGAAAGATTTTTGTTTAAAATCTACTATCATAGCAATCTTAGTGGGTAACATGTAATAATTTTTATTTTAATTATGACATAAAATACTCTCAACTTAATGATTTATGATTAAGAAAAAAATAATTTTGAATAGTCAATAATTTATTAAGAAAATTTGAGGAGCACAATCGCATAAAATTTTATTAAGCGAGTCCAGTACGTTGGGCGTTGGGCGTAAGTCCCGACGGTCGAGGCGTAAGTCTCACAGAACTAAGCCGCATGCATAAGTTCAGGTAAAGTGCTCCATTCAAAGCGAGCCCCATACGAGCTTCAATTCTGCCTTTTAAAAGAGAGTTTTCAATCACACCAATTATATATTCGAAGAGAAACAAAAAGGCTTCATATATCACAATGGAAAAAGATAAACTAAGAATTCTTTTGTTATAGATGTAACAAAGGAGTTGGTAAATCTAAAACGAAATTTAACCATAGAAAAAACAAAGGTTTTGTTTTCTTTATGATATCTTTGTCCCCTGTTGGATGTGGCCGTATCTTTAATATTTAATTCGTCCAAAACAGACAAAAAGGATAACGTAATATTCAATCTTATTCTATTTGAAACTGTGTAAGATGAGCAATGAGTATCAAATTATCAAATATTTCAATTGGGAGACGTAATCGCTTTCTCCACTCCTTGCTAGTGCCAAACAATAGAGTATGCTCTAATTTGATTTGATATAAAATTTAAAAAATAAAAGAAGATTTTTAAAATATATGATCCTAAAAGCTTAAGGGATAAAAATTTTACGAGGTTATGTATTTGTATGGCTATAAGCAAAGGCGGATCCAGGATTTAAATTCTATGGGTTTAACTTTTAAAATTTTAGCATTAAAAAAATTATATCTTTAAAGTTATGGGTTCATATCTACTATTTTTATAATTTTAATAAATTTTTACATTAAATTTTACTCCACATCAAAAGTTATGGGTATGGATTCAGTTGAACCCGTTAAGACTACACTACATCCGCCACTGGCTATTATAGCTCTTCATTAAAAGTAAAATGAGTAAAATAAAAAATTTAAAGTTAAATTATACTATCTAAATATAAAAATATGTCATTCTCTTTTAAACGAATTAATAAGAAAAATAGGTCATTTAAACTGAAATAGAGGAAGTAACATACGTGGCGGATGTAGTACAGTATAACCGGGTTCAATTGAACTCATAACTTTTGATGCGAAATAAAAATTTATTAAAATTATAAAAATAATAGATACGAACCATAACTTTAAGAATTTAATAAATTCAATATTAACAAATTTAAAATTGAACCCATAAATTTTACATTTTGGATCCGTGTTTGGTAATATAGTGCTGAACACTGGACTCCAGAAAAAGAAAAGAGAAATGACGAAAAAGGGAGGAATAAAATAGAATTACTATAAAAGAAATGAATTTATTTATACAAGAATAAATATTTGGTGGAACCCACAGCATCTTGCTTTGGGTCCGAGACCATTTTGGGACCCATAAACCCGAAAAAAGAAAAAAACAGGTAGAGCCTTCAGGAGTCACGAGTCACGAGCCACGAGTATTAGCTGAGAACAAATAACGAGGTGGGTGTATGTATATTATTATAGGAGTAGTGGTCTGTAGTGGATTCCTATAATCTAAAAGTCACTTATCTTTCTCATTTTGAGAGAGAGAGAGAGCCGTGGCCTTGTTTGCTTGCTTTTGTTGTTTCCTCCATAAGCTTGCAGCAAGTAGCCATGGCGGCTCCTTCTCTTCACTCTTCTAATCCAACCATCCAAACGTCATTTCCAATTTCCCATGCAATGACGAAGAACTTCGTTTCGATCTTATGTTTCTTTCTGGTTCTTTATCCTTCTTTCACCATGGCTACTTCTGCTAACACATTCTTTGGTAATTTCGAGTATTCATTTATTTGTGTTTTTTCTTTTTGTACATGACAAGTTGTCGTTTTTAGACCATTTTGGATTATAAATGAACCCTTCAATATCTGAAGCTCGAAATGTATGGTTAAGGTCCTTTTATTTGGTTTTGTTGTTGACGACGTTGTTGGTAATTTAGATATAGGATATTTGGGAATGATTTGTTAATGGGATGATAAAAAGTTGTGACCTTTTTGTTTATTCTTCAAATATTCCTCATTCTTTTAATGCGTATCTTAGTCCTTTTTCTCATGATGCTTTTGCAAGTTTTTGGGGACCGTTTTGCTTAGACAGTTGTCCTTATCATCTGAAGAAACTATATTGGGTTGTTTTACATTTTAGTTTCAGGCTTAGCAATTAATTTTATCTAATAGAGTATAAGTCATGGTTCTCTAGCTACTGGAAAAATTAGTCCCTATATCTTCATGTTTGTATATTCGTGCCCCTCTTCAATTCATTACGTCTCGAATCATAACATCAGACAGAGTACAAAAGTATGATTCTGTTTCTTTTATTAGTTTGATTATTTTCCAGGTTAATAACTCTCTGCATCTGTCTCCATGAATAGTCATTTCTGTAAAAAAAAAAAAGTCATCTTTTCTAAATCGTAATATTGAATATCTCTAAAAATTGGTTCTTTCCAAATCCAAAAAGTTGTATTTATCATAATGCAGAACTGTTTCCTTTCAATCTGATAGGGCAAGATTCGTTTTTTTTTAATATAAAAAAAGCAAAAATTGCTCTTTTTATAATAAACAACTTCAAAGTTGTAATAATGTGGTGCTCTTTTGTGGCCATTAGGTGAAAATATAGAAGGCATGAAGTATGATCTGTTTCCTGAAATCCTCAAGGAGGAAGCTGTTGCAAGACTTAATGAGCTTGGAAAGGTATTAACTAAAGCAAGGCAAACTATTTATATCATTACTAGTGGAAGTCAAATTTCCTGTGAGGAATGTTTTTTTCTTGTGTCTTGCCAGAGTTTTCTTTTTCTTGGAATACATACAATACAATATGTACCAATGAAAGTTTTCAAATTTTAAAAATCTGTTAGTCCATTTCACGGCTGCTATATATCTCTTATCCAACTTTTCGTCAGTGGATGAGTTGAAGTAACAAGTTTTGTGTTGTGTGGCAGGTAAGTGATGCGAGTGACTACCTTGAAAGGACATTCCAGAGCCCAGCATCGATCAGAGCAGGAAATCTTCTTTGTGCATGGATGGAAGATGCGGGCTTGAAGACGTAAGTTTTCAACTTATCATATTGTATTTTAATGCTTCAGAAAGCTTAATTGAGAGAACTCCTGATTCCAGGTGGGTGGACCAAATGGGCAATGTCCATGGTCGGGCTGAAGGGATTAATCCAAGTGAAAAAGCTTTGTTAATTGGCTCTCATTTGGTGAACCATTGATTTCCTTACATCATTTCTTTGAGTGTATTTGTTTTACTTCCCAGCATCACTAGTTTAAGATGTTGCATAAGAACCTGAAATTGAATGTTTTGTGTTGCAACAGGATACAGTTATCGATGCTGGATACTTTGATGGCTCATTGGGCATAGTATGTGCAATATCTGCGTTGAAGGCATTGAATGCCACTGGGAGGTTGGATAAACTCAGGCGGCCGGTTGAGGTGAGACACAAAAATATCAGTAAACATGTTACCCTGGAATATTATCATCTTTTCTGTTTTCTGTTCTGTTATTCTTTGTTGTAACCGCAAGGGTATATCAAATGCATTTTTAAAAAGTTATCAGCTATATCCAAGGGGGGGGACTGCAACGTTATTTTTGACCTCTCATTTCCTAAAGACAACTGTTAGGGGAAGTGCTCAATCTGAATTACAGAAAGTAATTTTTTCTTTAACGTAACTATCACATTTCAGTTGCTAGATTGATGAGGATCCTATAGTTCAAGTACTAGTTGTGAGTTGCTAGCCATAAGATTTCCCACAAATGATCTTTGAGGTTTGGGCTTTGTTCTGGTTTCAACTGCTATGTTTCAGATTCTGTCAATCTGTCTTTGAGGTTTACATTTAAAACGCTTGGAAGCTAATGTTTGTGGTTGCTAAGTTGCAAGCTAATGTTTGTGGTCGCGAAAGATGCGAATTGCATATGATGCCTTGAAGTGGAAAATTGGTTAATACTTGTTAACTCTCTGTCTTTCCCTACTAATGGAATCTGCTTTGCTGAATATGTCTGTAGACTCTGTACTAGCCAAAGTTCCTGTCATAGCGTGTAGTAGTTTTCATAACTTCTGAGTGATGCTTGCTGATGTATAGTACTAAACTTCAAGAGGACAAGTTCAAATCCATCTGTAAGAGTGTGAGAGTATTTGTTAAGTTTAGCGTTCCCTGGTTTTCCTTCTCCTTCTTATTGCATCTTTCTTCTTCTTTGGGAAAGTCCTTATCTCCTTGTCTTTCATCTTTTAAGTGTGTGAACTCACTACCGAGCTGTGTAATTTTCCTCTCTTGGCCCTCTAACCATAGCTCAAAAAGTATATTTTCCCCTCTTTGAACATTATATCCTTGGACAGTCAAAATTTTGCGTTTACATCCTTGAGCAGTTGTAGAAAGTGTTACAGCACTAATAATAGTGCTAGTTGCCTAATGTGTTGTTGCTGCCAATCTGACTTCTCTTTTGTATTCTTTCTATTTTACAACTTTTATTTTCAGTTAATATCATATCAAATATTATTTTAGTTTCTCCTGCTTTGCAAATATCTTATGTACTGTTTTGCAGGTAATTGCATTTAGTGATGAGGAGGGAGTGAGGTTCCAGTCGACCTTCTTAGGAAGTGCAGCTATTGCTGGCTTATTGCCAGTTTCAGCATTGCAAATACATGATAAGAAGTTTGTATGGCTAACCTAAAAGCTTGTCTTTGTTTGTATGGCTTTTTTTTCTCAAACATTAACGTGCAACTGTTTTCAGTGGTCTGACAGTGCAAGGTGCTCTCAGAGCAAGTTCTATAGAAACTACAGAAGAAAACCTTTTGCAGCTCAAATATGAACCAGAATCAGTTTGGGGCTATGTTGAGGTCAATAAAAGTTTTCAATATGCCATATTGAAATTACAAACTACTTCATAAGATCTCTGGTAATATAGTTGCTGATGGTGGATCTTATTCAAATGGTCTTTCGCAGGTTCACATTGAACAAGGACCCGTACTGGAGAATGTTGGTCTCCCTCTTGGTTTAGTAAAAGGCATTGCAGGGCAGACAAGGTTGAAGGTGTGTATTCTTATCCTACCGCCTCTTGGCTGTCATCCGCTTTTATTCTAACTAAAAACTTATCGTCCATGTTCAACTCCATTTTTTCCTTTCCTGTAGCGAAACCACCTTTTTCTAGTTTTTGATTTCCACGGTTTGTTTCATCCCTCCTTGTAAGATGTTGGATCATGTTATGTCATCCCTTCTGGTATATAACGTGCAATGAAGAAATAAGAATGTCTGATTGGCTGTTATATCTATTCAGTCTATCTAGTTTTGTTAAGTAAAAGGCAGTTCTGATCTTTGTGATGATATGATATTACAAAGGGGAAAAGTACTTAAAGTATGTGAGAAAATGATTTGTCCGGGAAATCTGTTCTATGCACAATCTACAGCTTGACTCACTTCTAGTTGCTACCACTCATCTCCTTTTGGTATATATTGTCCCATATAATTTTGGTTGAAGTAATGCTAGCTTGACCAGACCTTTGAATTAAGCACTGCAGGTGACAGTGAGAGGCACACAAGGACATGCAGGAACAGTGCCTATGAATATGCGACAGGATCCTATGGTTGCAGCTGCTGAACTAATTGTATTTCTGGAAAGCCTTTGTAAACAACCTGACTATTATCTGTCCTATGATGGTCAATGCGCTTCTTCAACAGTGGAATCTCTTGCAGGATCTCTGGTCTGTACTGTTGGAGAGATATCAAGTTGGCCAAGTGCAAGTAATGTCATTCCAGGCCAGGCAAGCACTCCTTAAAACTTCTGGCGTACAACTCACATACCGTTTCATTGTTCGTCATCCAATATTCAGGGAAAGAATCTCTGGGATGCTTATTACTATATATATGCATTTTTCACAGGTGACATTCACTGTAGATGTACGTGCAATGGATGACACGGGACGAGAAGCTATAATTTACGAATTCTCCAATAAACTTTATCATATGTGTGATCGACGTTCCGTCTTTTGTAACGTTGAGCGAAAGGTGAGAGATACCTAATTATTTGTGGCATTACCTGCTGCATATTCTATGACTAACACTTCTCTTATTGGTTTAGCATGATGCAAATGCTGTCGTTTGCGATCCTGGCCTAAGCACAGAGCTGAAATCTGCATCTCATGCTGCTTTGAAGAGAATTACTGGTGAGGATCCAGGTGATGTTCCAGTACTGATGAGTGGAGCAGGTCATGATGCAATGGCCATGTCTCATCTAACCAAGGTGAGCTATACTCAAAACCTTGTATTTTTCGACTTGGACGTGATTTTCTTTCTTTCTTTTGATAATGGTGGTGTAAGGGCCACTTGCGAGACTCGAATATTTCACCAAGCACTTGCTACCTCTTAGAGTACAGGTACTAGGTAGCTCTATCCACTTAGGCAAATAGGAATGCCTATGTCTCCCATGGTTTTACCCACTTCATTGACACTATGAACGTGATTTTCTTTCTTGTTTGTATTAAAGATTCACTATTTTTCAATAGGTGGGAATGCTATTTGTGCGTTGTCGTGGAGGCATCAGCCATTCTCCTGCGGAGCATGTATTAGATGATGATATTTGGGCAGCTGGAATGGCAGTACTTACATTTTTGGAGACCCTCTTGTAATTACCGGCATTCTGCAATGCAATCTAGTTTTCCATTCGTAATCATATTATGTATATACATCGATTCAAACTTCTGTAGTTGCAATAATGAAAATGTATATTTGCAAATAGCAATTTCGCCTGTTCATAGTGAACCGACGTTTGATCAAACTCTTGCTTGAGCATGATTCGAATAAACGAGCGAATATACAAAAGCAATAATCTCTTTGAAATTTTTGAAGCGACATCCTTGCAGAACAGATATCTACCGTCCGACCAAGTTTAGCCTAAGTTGCTTTAAATCCTTTTAACTTTTGAAAAATGAGAAGACAACTTGTGCAAAAAGAAAGCATGTTCGAAAAGTGTTTCTTTTTTTAAGTTGTGTGTGTTTTGTAAATGGAAGAACTATTTACAAACCATCAAAACACTTCTTCACGAACCTTTTTTTGCAGAAGTTTCTTGAAAGAATTTAAACAAACATGTTTTTGGAACAAACATGTTTCTGGAATTCTTTTGACAATATTTCAAAAAGAATCCGTGGACATATCTTGAATAGGTTGTTACGCATAATGACAATTTAACACAGGAAATTAGAAATGAACTTTGACGATAGTGGTACTAAATTATAAAATATAAAGCACCCACAAGATGAAATGCATGCTGGCTTTGGTGATATCAAGTGAAAATCAACTGGTCTTACACGTACAGATTAGTAACTGTAGCTACATTTTAACCATTATGGACTGTTTCAAGGCATTGCATGTCCATCAGCAAGGTGACAATAAAATCCTAAAACAGTTGTGGCCCTTGCAAATAGGTTAGAAACATCGTGTAACTAGTTTCTGTTAAAAGAACTGCAGATCTGTAATTCTTCTCCACTTACTTTACACTAGGAGGTAGAGCTAATTGTTGCAGCTGGTGGACAACGTGGGACATCCTAGGACGCATTGACGGCACATGTTGTGTACAAGAATAAACAAGGTCAACAACCTTTTGGATAACTCCAACTTCAGGAATATGAGAAGAGGAAGAAGATGATATGACAGGATCCAAGAGCTCTACATAGCGATGAGCCTGCACCAGAGGCGTGGCCCATTCAAATATACTCTGCCAACCAACAGAATCAACTGCTTGTGCTGGTCTCCGACCGCTCATAATTTCAAGCAGGAGAACTCCAAAGCTATACACGTCACTCTTTGTAGTAAGCTCATTTCTGTAAACAAACTCCGGAGCAAGATACCCATGAGTACCACCTGCCATGACTCTCCTCTCATGCATAACTTCCCACGGTACAAACTTAGACAGACCAACTCCCATTAGATGTGCGCCAAAATCTTCGTCAAGAAGTACATTGCTTGCACGAATATCCCTATGCACAACTTGTGGCTTCACTTTGTCATGAAGAAACCTGTCAAATTTGATGAAATAAGCACAAAACTATGTACAAGCAAAGAATTGCCATTACAGAGGTTTGCAAGCAAATAATGCCATGCTCTTGAGTCAGCATCTCTTGTGCACTAGCTGAAACAGTATGACAAAACCGAGAGTTTTCAACAACTACCTCCATACAACAACACAACCAGACCAGTCATTCTCACCTTAGCCAGCTAGATCCCTCAATTCAGAAATTAATTAGGTAATAAACTAATTTAGTAGTAATAGATAGTAACATAATTTATTAACAGAGAATAACATAATTTAGTAATAGACCCTGCATTGTCTTATTCTATTTTTCTTTTTTAATAAATATACCATAGACGTGACTGGTTTTAAGGTACCTATCCATCGATAGCCAGAACTAGGCATCTTAGTTGCTTTGCGTATGACAGCGACCTCCATATAACTCGTAGATATGCACAACTTCTTTACTTTGTACTTAGAATGACTTCTTTGCTTTCTGTATACATCCTCCCGAGAACAATGTAAGACACTCAAAACGGAAACACATGAACACAAAAGAACAGTAATATGTAACTATCCTATATAATTTGAAGGTTTTGTTTATAACTGAGATGTCACTGGCATCCATTTCCTTAAGTATTTTATCTCTTCTATCTCGTTTCTGTTTGAATTCTTTTTAGCATAAAAGAATTACAAAGACCTACTTGCAAACTTTCTAGATTTCTAAAAGTACGAAATGACCCCAGCTTACTCAAGCACAACAACAGCAACAACAACATACCCAATATAATCCCACATGTGGGGTCCAGGGAGGGTAGTGTATACGCAGACCTTACCCCTTCCCTGAGGAAGTAGAGCCCAGCTTACTCAAGTGACCTGTATTTTTCAATTTATACCAAATAAATTATGGAAAGTAATACAATCTGATCAAAGAAGTCCATGAAAAGTTAAACCACCAGGGACCATACATTATTCATCATATTAATTAAATCTGATGATGCTAGATAAGCCCGTGGATTGGTCTATCTTATATCATCATGAATAATTGGAATTAATATATAGGCTTCCTCTTGTACCTTCCAAAAATTCTTCCATACATATTTCTTGTTGGGGATTGGGCGGTGAGTGGTCTCATAAGCCTCTGGAAATTTTATTCACCAGCATTTCCATGTCAAAGGAGTAAGAAGGGAAATATTGCAAGAGAGATCATGCATTCTTCTTCTTTTTCTTTTTTCAATTGTATAAATCATGTATTCGAACCATCTATATTTACCCTTGTATCACTTCCCGATAACATCCTCCAATTGACATGAAGCCAAACATGTATATATGAGTTCATACTCGTGTCCAAAAAAGGGATGTATGACAAGATTTAAAGAATAAACGCACATTTCTAACTAAAATAATCCATCTCAAGGATAAATTAAAATATTTATTCCTAATCTACAATGGAGATGAAGATAATATTAACGCTACTTACGCAATTCCTTGAGCAAGGGTGGTGGCGACTTTCATTCTCATGCTCCAGTCCAAACTCCTACCTCCTCTAGGAATATGGTGTAGCCACCTATCCAGGGGTCCATTGATAATAAACTCGTACAGGATATAGCGGTCACCATGATGATAACAACATCCTTTGATGGAGACCAGATTTGGATGATGAAGTCTTGCAACCCTTCCAATCTCAGAGTAGAACTCCTTCTTCCTCTGAAAGCCAGACCTCTTCAATCTTTTCACAGCCACCCTTGAACCGTCAGGTAAAAGCCCACTATAGGTACCACCTGTTTTGGCATCCCCAAGGAGACGATTTACTTCACTGAAATTCTTTGTCATGGACTTTACTTCGTCACGATTGAAGATTTTCCAAGATGGCGGAACTAATGCTAATGATGCACGAGATCTTCTCCGTCTTTTACTTCGCCTATAAACAAGAAGCCATATCACAACAGCCAAAGTAGTGCAAAGAATCAACCCACTCACAACTGCAAGGATTATGAGATATTCCCTGTGGCAGCGCATATGGCGACACTTGCTCCCTAATGTATCAAAAACATAAGAAGATTATTCAATATCTAATTAAGGCACGTAGATTGGATTACTGTTATCTAAAATGTACTGCTTATGGAAAAATTAAAAGGGAACTACAGAGTTGTTAGTCACATATCATCACCATATTATATTAGGAAAAGAGTTTGCTCCCACTTTTCAAAATTACACTTGGTGAAAAAAAGCAATTAGAAATAAGTTGTTCTGCAATCACTTACCAGCATCAAGCATGCATAAAGAAGCATGAGTTGTATTGCATCTCTCAGCTATAAGGGGTGTACTGCCATTGGTTATCGATGTACACAAATCCACTGACTTAAAGCCATAGCATGAGAAATTTTTGCAACTTGAGTTAAAAGTTGACTTAAGATCAAGACTCTCATTCCAGCTAGCTTCATTGTCAGACCATTTCCAACCAAAACCAGCAGTAGTATTAATGCTCTTTCCACCAACCCAGCATCCGTTACTATCATTGCCACAGAGCTTTTGGACAAAGTTCAGTTCTTCTGAAGATGTTATGGCAGCAAGGTTTCCTCCAAAACCGTTGCAGTAAATCTCTGATTCATCCCATTGCAAAGAGGTTGCATTATATTTGAAACACTTTTTCCCATTTGGGCTGCTAAACCAACCAGGATCACATCTTTCTGCTTGCAAAACAGTAGACAATAGTGTCAAACAGATGAGACATAATAACTAGAGTAGTTAAAAATCACAAATTACACTAAGAAAAATCATTTTGACAGATCAAAATAAGTTTCAGTTACACTAGTGCTATAATTATACTTATTCTAACTTCTTGATTTATCTAGAAAGAAAAAAATAATACTAAAACTTTTTTTTATTTATTAGCGAGCGGAAAAATAATACTCAAAACTTATCCAGACTTTCCCCTAGATAGTCACTCATACATTTTTCCTACTTAACTTTCTTTTGCTCTTTTTTTAATTTTTTTTATAACAGTGGTGTCCAGGCTAGCTAGCGTGCAATCTACCTCTCACTAGTACATGTACCGCGTAACTCTGCCCACCAAAACTTAGGTAGATGAGAAGAAATTACCAAGTGTATTTTGTCTCTTCCCTCTTTCCTTAAATTGAACTAGAACTAGAACAAGGTACTACCAACTGACTCAACGGCTTCTTCTAATTTTTGGAAATTCTATTGAGTGAAAAGCTCCTATGTTGCTTTCCCACGATAACATTCTTCTATCTCTGCCCACTTTTCTGGGACAAGGGATGGGGTAAATGGTAAAACAAGCAGAAAAAAGTACTGCAAATCAAATTCAAAAACGTGACTAATATTTACATGAAAGAAGCTTTTTTTTTTATAACCATGGTGTCTGGGCCAGCTTACACGCAACTCGACTAATTCTATGGGATACTGTGACGACCCGGTCAGTCGTCTCATGAGTTACCGCTCCGTTTCCCCCATTTCTGCTTCTTATTGCTTTGTCTATCGGTTATATATGTGATCGGGTTGGTTGGCTCGGGTTCGGAAAGGATTTGGTAAGGTTTGAGACACTTAGTCTTTTTTGAGGAAGCTTAAGTTGGAAAAGTCAACCGGATGTTGACTTAAATGTTAGAGGGCTCGGATGTGAGTTCCGGTGATTCAGATAGCTTCGGGAGGTGATTTGGGACTTAGGAGCGTGATCGGAATGTGTTTTGGAGGTCCAGAGTAGATTTAGGCTTGAATTGGCGAAATTGAATTTTTG